TTGTTCAACAAAGTGCTGGTCATTTCTTTGTTTCACCAGCGCCCTTCACAGATGAGGCATGTTTTGGTGAAGATGTCACCATCAATATTGACATCTATCACCAGTGGGCAGAGGAATATCCTTATCGTATGGACACAGCAGCAATTCAGCATTAATGTGAGGTTAGTGGTTAGTGGTTGTTTGGTAGGAATGCATGTTTTGCCACATCAGCTTAGGCAACCACTGCCGAGATTTCCTCTTATATGATCTGTCAAAGCTGCTTTAAGATATATTGCTGGCAGTCAGAGCACAAGTGTGGCACATGGCTGATGGTGCTTCAGCATATTTTAGCCATGCTGTGTGAGATGCTCTCAGTAACACCTATCATGAGCAATGGATGGGTAGATGAGAACCCACTGCATGGCCTTTATGCTCAGCAGATTTGAGTGCTCTGGATTCTTATCTGTGGAAATGCCTAAAAGCCCTTGTATGTGCAGCTTCCCTTGACAATGAAGAGGTGCTTCACTGTCACATTTCAGATGCCTGTTAGATTGTCCACAACTACTCCAGCGTCTTTGAATGGTTGTGGCATGATGAGACGTGTCAAGGCATACATTGAATCTCATGGAGGACATTTTGAGCACTTATTGTAAATGTACTCTTTCAGCTATAACTGACAAATTAAAGTTTCCAGACTAGTGTTGATATGGGAATTGTAGTATGTGGCATTTGTGCGCAAAATTTGTCTGCACCTTTCAGTTACATCCTATATACGTCTTTTGTCCTTAGTCTTCTGAATGTACAGGGTGGCACATGAAATTATACAGTATTTAATTTAGTATTAATTATTGAAACATGCAGTGAAAGATGCTTTGTAACATTGTAACTCTTAAAGTAGATCATGGAGATTAGTTTACTCTTCCTGAGTATGCTACTGTTGCACTGTTCCTGCTCATGCACCCGTTTACACAAGATGGCTGACAAAGGAAGACTGTCTGTAGAAGAGCATATAAAGACAGTGTATTTCTTTACTGAAATAAGAAGTGTTGTGGTCACACAGAGGCGGTTTTGTGCCCATTTTCAAGCTTGATAGACACCTTCATTTGGAACATTTCATGAACTTTATAACCAGTTTAATAATGATGGTTCATTGTTGGAGAGGAAACATCCCTGGCCTTCATCTCTGCGTTCTCCAAAGAATATTGATGCTGTCCGAGTGGCGCTGCAGAGGAGCCCCAGAAAATCAAGAAGGAAGGCTGCTTCATAACTAGGGATGTCCAGACTCTTGGTGCAGTAAATATGGTAAAGTGATTTGAATTTTTATCTGTACAAAATGACAGTGTTGCCTAAACTTACAGTTCAAAACAAATATTAAAGAATGGCATTTGCTGAATGTGCTCAGAATAATGAGGTATCATTCAACAATGTTTGGTATTTTGATGAGGCACACTTCCATTTGGATGGTGTGGTTAATAAACAAAATGAGCGATTGTGGGCATCAGTGAATCCATATGTGATCCATGAGAAGGTGCATCATGCACCAAGAATTACAGTGTGAGTCACCATCTCAAGTTGTGGACTGCTGGGGACAATTTTCTTTGAAGAAACAGTGAACAGTGAGTGAGTTCTTTAAGCATATTGTGCAATACTTTTGTGCCTCACCTTCTTGCTACAGGTCTGCTATTACAAACTCAGCGGTTCATGCAGGATGGAGCCAGGTCACACACAGCGGATGTTGTTTTGGACTTTCTACGTGGCACTTTTGACTCGCATGTCATCTCAAACTGATTTCATGATCGTTTCACATGAGGACAGAATTGGCCCCCAAGCAGTCCTGTTGTAAACCCAGGTGACTACTTCTTTGGGGATTCCTTAAGGAAAAGATTTTTCCAAAAAAGCTGCAAACAGTAATGGAATTTAGACCGCTAATCAATCAGGCCTGCAACGAGATAACTGAGGCCATGTGCCATCGAGTAATCAACAACCTCATAGTTCATGCTGAAGAAGTTGCCAGACTTAATGGTGGTCATATTGAACACTTGATTCACAGAGGACAAATCTCCAAGCAGTGGCCTTTATTTTTTTATGTTAGTTTCTATTACTGTAATTGAAACCAAGATTTTATTAATAGATCAAATACTGGATCATTTCATGCACCACTCTATATGTGCAAATGCACACCTATGTGTGGGGTTAGGAATAGCATCTGGCCTAGACCTTGCTTTGTATAGCCCCAGGCTAGCAGCCCAGCTGGAATTATTTGTTCTCCAGACTTACGTGATAGTGGTCACTATCCTGTAAATCTTTGCATAACTAGAACATCTGCAGATAGTATCTTGACATCTGAACTGGGTCATCAGGTAGGATGACTTGGGGGATGTCACTTAGATACTCTTGAGGACTAGGAATTTCCTATGGTCATTTCCACAGTGGAGTACTTGATGAGCACAGTGTTTTAGTAGACAGGTTAGCATTTCATTGTGTGATTGTCTCCCAGACCTAGGATTCATCTTGCAACTGGCAAGTTCTGTACCACCTTTTGGAATCTGGAGAACCTCCTTTTTTTACCTTGCAGAAGAATTTATTTTCTGTTCTGATGAGGCAAAGGTGGCAAGTCAGTCCAGTCATCCTTTCTTACAGTGCACTCTTTCATCTGACCCAGTACAATTACACATTATTGCTCCTTGATGTATGTGTATGATACCAGGATCACCTTCACATACGTTTACAGCATATCATTTCCATTAGACTGTCATGCATATCAATACACTCAACCTGTGACCTTCAATGCAAGACAAGAGAAGCTAAATGTCTGCTCACAGATATCAGTGACAATTTGCAAACATTTGTTCACTTATCCAGACTACATGGACGTCTACTGATAGGCAGTTTATTCAAGTTTTGATTGGTTGTGCCTTTATCTAGAGACCAGGTTGTCTCCTACTGTCTCCTGAATTTTAACAGCATCTATGCAGCTGAAGTTTATGCCATATATAGAGATGTTTATTTCATCTGACATCAATTTCTGAATTGTCTTCTTGCTTGTGCTTATTCTTTCAGTGCCTTGCAGGGCCTCCATGGATACACACCAGATCATCTGGTTATGGAGAGTTTGCATTAAGTGTATGATATACACTTCAAGGCCAGGAAAGGTTTGTTTTTTGCTGAATGCCTGGTCTTTAGCCCTGCCTGGTAACAAGGCTGCTGATAGTCTTGGAAGCTGTCGTGCATGGGGATTTTCATTTGAACAAGTGCCATCTAATGATGTTCCTATGTAATTCCTTCATTCCATATTTTCATCATAGAAGGATGAATGGACTGATATGTAGGAGTACAATACTCATTGTGCTCACAGACAACCTGTTGCATGGTGAGCCAACACCTGTTTCCACAACCTGTGGAGAACCTCTTACTGTTTATATCTTCTCATCAGATGCTTACTTTATGATGAGGAATGCCATACCTTCCACCTTCATGGCATATTTTTTTTACATTCTTGGAGGTGAACACTGTGGCATGTCAGATGTTATGCCATTCTTGAATGGTATTGTGCTCTCCAAGTCAGTTTAACTTTTGAAATTTTGTGCCATATTTGAGACTTCTATTTTATGACATTGCCTTGAGTTTTTATTGTATAGACTTTAGGACCACTGTGTTAGGCCCTGGTATAGCGTGGCATTGTTATCAGTTTTAATTTTTTGGTATTGAGTTTTTTATACTCTTCACCCCAGATTTTGTTGTCTGATCCATTTCTTGTCAGCTATATCAGTTTTACTGTTTTTCTCTGTGGGGTTTTAAGTTTGGTTTTTATACAGGAAAGGAGGCATTTGACACTGATGCATCTCTAAATCCACCCACACACGTATGCGTATGCGCATGTATGCACATGCACACACACAGATAAAACCCATTGGTACTTGTTCTGAGCCATCTGAGTAGAGCCTGTTAAAAAGAGTTCCCATGGATGGTGAGGCAGATATCCCATCTCTGAAAAGAATTGCTTAGGCAGCTGCTGGAACTGCTGCACAACCTCAGCCTTGATGACTTTCCTCTTACTGAAACATGTAAAAATGACTTTCAGTTGAACAACCCTAATAATTTCTTGTTGACCAGGATAACTTTTTTACTGTTCTGCAGTTCACCATCCTATAGTTTTTACCAAGCTTTATATAAAAGCCTGACTTGAGTAATGGAATAACACTGAAGTTTGGTAAGCAGGTTCCTGGCCTTGGTGTGATTTGCTTGGGGAGGGGGGGGGTGAAGCTATCTCTGTCATAGGCCGTGGAGAACCATGGGGTTGTGAGACATCAAGGTTCCCACATTTTCTAGGCAGTCGGTTCACAGATTGTGGTGAGGTTGTCTTTCAACCCCCAGGAAGATTCCTGGTACTCATTTCTCTTAGAGACTGAGTCAACCCCAGGGCCATAATACTGCTGGAAGGATTAGAAAATTTTAAAAATCCATTGACCTCATTGGGAATCGAAGCTGTGACCTTTGGCTTGTAGCATAGTACTTCAACCAACTACGCTGCTGCGTATGGAAGGAGAAGTATATGTCTGATTTATTTCCACTCTTATTTCTTTGTTCTTGGTGTGTTTTGTTTTTCATTTTGTGAGTTGTTTTCTGAAGGCTCTGACATCCACAGGATGTTATACAAACTGTGAGAATTTTAAAATTAAAAGAATTATATGTAAAATTCAGAGTGCATTGCCTGTTTTGTGTAGATTGAAGAAGTTGGTCATGGAATAATTAGTTAAATGTCTTGACAGGTTCATGCCAGATTTAAGTACCTAGTGTACCAAAAACTTCTTGAAACATACCAGACATCAAAAGTATCTCACTATAGGGACATGATTAATCGTACTAAATCTCTACTAAGGAAATCATGACAGTGTTTTGCTAAAAACATTTTATGAAACCTGCAGAGAAATAAGTGGTTATATGGTTTATTTATTATAATACCTGATTTTGTTCATTAATGTTGTTTGTAAATGTCTATATTATGTTGTATGTTTCTGCAGGATGGATTGGTTAAAAATAACATGGAAAAGCTGACATTTTATTCACTCTCATCTCCAGAGAAATTGGATCGAATTGGTGAATATTTGTTCCAGAGAGCTAGCAGAGACATTTATAGACGGCGAAATGGGTAAACTATAACAATGATTGACAAATAACTTTGTAATTTTATTATTATTATTATTAT